CTGGTCTGTCTGTAAGCCATCTTCTTCACATGCGCCTAAACATATGGCTGAAAAACCGGTATTGCGCAATACCGGTCACGTGTATGGGAACTATGTATAGGAAACCCATGGACAGACATAAAGTTTACATACAAGAGCATATTGCCAGAATTGTCAAAAATACTAAGGATGTGGTTGATGTCTTTTTTGAACCAGTTAATAAAAAAATGGATTTGTTCCAAATCAGAATATTGCATTCTCATTCAACCTTTATTTAGACAGGTTAATCCCATTGAGCCTCAAGGACTCATTTGCAAGAGAGATGATTGCAACAAAGAATGATGACGACAGTGGACAACAGCGACAACAAAAGAAAGTTATAAAAAGGCATACAGATTTTTTTTTAATTTTTTTTTATTCTTTTACAAATAAGATGGCAAAAAAGTAACAAAACCAGCTAGATTATAAGGCGAATGTAGAAAACTAAAAACAGGAACATGTCTGCATTGGTCCTTGCCAGGAGTCCAACAGATTCTTAAAGTCACTTAGAGAGGTCAAGGTCGAGAGCTTCAGATCGTTTTGTAAGATATTCCAGGAAACAGGAGCTGAGTAGGAGAAGGCCATTTTGCCAAGTTCAGTCCTCACTGAGGGAACACTGCAGGTAATAATGTCCTGAGAATGCACGCTGTAGCTGCACTCATGCAGTGACATGTAAGAGGAGATGTATGAAGGCAGCAGACCAAGAAGTGATTTAAAGATGAAAATGTACCAGTGGGAGAGTCTGTGTGAAGTTAATGATGACCAGTTAACCAGTGAATTCAGTGTGCAGTGGTGGGTACGATAATCATAGCCAGTTATGAATCTTAGTGCACCATGATAGACAGCATCCAACATCTGCAGGGTTCTTGTAGGAGCATTCATGTAAATAATGTCACCGTAATCAATGGAGGGAAGGAAAGTCACAGATACAAGGCGTTTCCTAGCATTCAGAGTTAGACAGGATCTGTTTCTGAAAAAGAAACGCAGTTTAACTTTCAGTTTCTTTACTAGGTTTTCCACATGGAGCTTAAAAGAGAGATGCGAGTCGATCAAGATACCCAAATATTTATAGGAATCAACAAACTCAATGGGGACATCATTTGAGTATAAAATCGGAGGAAGAACTGCTGGGACTGACTTCCTGTTTGAAAAAAAGCATCCCTTTGGTTTTGATTGGCATTTAGGACAAGTTTGCCATGATTTGTTTGAACTGAATGTTTGTCAAATTTGAATAATGTCAAAGGTGGATTGCAAAAGCTGGATAGCAACTGTTTTAGCTCGACAATAAACAACTGTGTCATCAGTATATAAATATAAGGATGCGTCAAGGATGATCTGACCTACATTACTTATGTAGATTGTAAAGAGGGCGAGTCCTAAGACTGAGCCTTGTGGTACACCATTGTTGACTGTTAAATAACTGGAGGAAGTACCATTATGTTGAACACATTTGTCTGAGAGATAGTTAGAGAACCAACCAATGGTGTGTTCTGAGAAACCGATTTCTGAGAGTTTATGACACAAGATGTTATGATCCACAGTGTCAAAAGCTTTAGACAGGTCTAAGAAAAGTGCAGCACAATAATCCTTAGCATCCAGTGCTTCAACAGCGTCATTAAGAACCTCCAGTGAAGCAGTGGTTGTGCTGTGTTGTTTCCTGAAACCAGATTGATGTGGAGGTAAGATGTTAAATGAGTCCAGGTAATTTTTGATATGAGAGTTTATCCGTTTTTCTAGAACCTTGGCTAAAATGCAGAGTTTAGAGATTGGTCGATAGTTGTTCAGTGAGGTGGGGTCACCTCCCTTCAGCAAAGGAAGAGCAAAGGCTGTTTTCCAAGCATCTGGAATGGGGTTTTGGCTTATGAAAATATTAAAGATGTGGGTCACAGGGACTGCGATGATATGAGCAGTCAGCCTTAAGAAATAAGGTGGAAGTTCATCTGGTCCTGCAGATTTTTTAGGATCTAGAAAGACCTTTTAACAGTTTATTAACCTCACTAACTGAAAACTGAGAAAAAGAGAAGGTGTGATTAACTGAGGATTGACTTGTAGGAGGGATTTGATTTGTACAAGTTTGGTTATTAATTGAAGTGGCTAATTTTCCATTAGTAACTGTGTCAAATAAAGAACTACAAGCAACAACATGTTTGTTGAAACAGTTCAGGATCTCGTGCTTATTTGACACAGGAACAGAGTTAACAAGAAGTTGTGATGGGAGGTCAGATGATTGGGGGCTGCCTGAGCGAGATTTGATGGTTTTCCAGAATCTATTAGGGTCATTTAGATTTTTGGAGGCCTGAGATAATAAATAGTTACGTTTTGCAGCTTTGATTTGTTGTGCATTTATTCATTTTCTGCCGAAAACTCAACCAGTGTCTGAGCCAGATTTTCTCACTGCGGCCCAAAGATGATCTCTCCTGTGCAGGAGGTCAGCTAGCTCAGGAGTAAACCAGGGGCTGTCTCGTCCCCTTATTCTGAATTGACGAAAAGGAGCATGTTTGTTCACAAAATAAATGAAATTTATTCCAGAGGAGAGCTTTATGGGGTGAAAAATTGTGGACAAAAGCCAATTTCCAGGTTAGAAGGGCCTGCTGATGAAATTTGGACATTTTGATGGGTAATTTGTTGGGTAAGAAGTTACATTTCAAAAGGAAAGACGGTCAAAGAAATGGTTTGATATGGAGAACCTTAAATGTATCATACGGAGTTGCTGTGATGTCAGGACGTGGCACGTTCATTTGTTTACTAAGACTCGGTAAATAGGTATCTCTGCAGACAAAGTCGGAAGGCGTATCTGGGGGGCCGCATCTTATTGGACGAGGTGTATCCGGGGGAGCCACATCTGATCAGACGATAAAAAATGGGCAGGTCTGGAGGGCCACATCTGATTGGACAAAAAAAAAAAAGAAAGGCTGACCGAAAAAACACAAGCTGTTTGTGTTAACCACAGACCAGAGCCTTATAAAGATTTAGCCCTATAAAAAAAGCCCTATAAAGATCTCTATGGCGCCGCCACAGACATATTATGTCTAAAAACAAGGCGTTGTTGGCAAATTGTGTTAACCACAGGCATATTATGTCTATGGTGTTAACAGGTTCGACATTAGCGGCGTCTCAGGTTCAACATTGGTGGCGTCTCCATATCTTCTCTTTCCACCTCTCTTAACGCAGAACTTCTGGTTACATTTCAAAATAAGAGCAACATAAATGGGTAGTGGGGAGAGCTAAATACTAATGTCATCACATTGTCATCACTGTACTGTATGTTTCCATACAATGGCGAAATTAGTCTCTGCATTTAACCCATCCACCACCAGGTGGTGCAGTGGGCAGTTATTGAAAGCACTCGGGGGACATTTTGGGAATAAGGTGTGCTGCCCAGAGACACCACGAGGTATGCAGTGACCGGGGATCGAACCCGGGACTTTTGGGTCCCAAGCTGGCTGCCCTGCCTTTACACCATCTAAATGTTTGTTTTTGAATACCTAGCCATTACATTAAAAAACAAAATCCATTTTGGTTGTTGAAAAATGTGAAAATAGTTACAAATGATTCATAAAGAAAGAAAAATGAAGTAACCAAAATAATAATGATACGTAAAGAAAGAAAAATAAAGTAACCAAAACAATAATGATACATAAACTGGCCTTGGGACAAAGGATGTTTCCTTTAACTTCACATTTTCTTGTTCAACTTTTAAAGCAGTCACTGCAGATGAGTGATTGTAGGTTTCTGTACGATTTCTGCAACTGGAGCAGGTATTTCTGTTTACTGGTTAACTTCCTCAGCTGTCTCACATTTTAAGGGTCAATCCTACTCCATGTTTCAGCTCCTTTCAGAGTCAGAGTCAGAGATTCTTTATTGTCGTTCGCCCCACATGTGGTACATGTGGTGGAACGAAATTATATACACAGGGTCCCAGTTACATCCAACAATAAAAATGTAAAAGAAAAACAATGATAACATCTAAGATATAAACCAAGACAAACATCAACCAAAAATACATTAAGCACCAGTAGCATAAAAACATTACGTCGAACAACAGCACAAAAATGAGCATGAGTCCGTGTGAGTAGATAAGCATGCACAAACACATTAACATTGAAACAGATCAGCAGCACCAAGATGTGATTTTTCACAGTAATTATTCTGGTTAGAGATTCATGAGTCTAACAGCCTCAGGGTAGAAGCTGTTCCTCAGTCTAGTGGTTCTACACATAATGCTCCTCAACCTCCTTCCTGAGGGGAGTGGGGCAAAAAGTGTGTGCGCTGGGTGAGTGTGGTCCTTCATGATGCAGGTGGCCCTCTTTCTGGAGGTGTAAATGTCTGTGATGGTATAGATAGATCAAGTCTCATAGAAGAACTTCTAAAGAGTAAATTTTGTTTTTAGCTTTTGTTTTGGGCCATTATCTTGTCATAGGACTCATGATCTTTAATTGAGACCAGACTTTTTGGACAAATGGGAGCAGGTTTTGCTTCAGATGCTTCATATTTCATTGTACCCAGATCACACTCAAGCCAGCCTGTGTCAGGTGCAGCCTACAACCCAAGGACTAAAGATAATCTTCTTGTGTTTGACAGCAGATATAACGCTGTTTCTTAGAAACCTTCAGTTTAAAAAAAGAGTTGATGTAACTTTTTTCGTTTTTTCATTTACCCTTTATTTGTACAGGTAGTCTCACTGAGCCACGAGAACTCATTTTCAAGAAAGACCTGTTTATGGAGCAGATGGTGGGGGTTAAGGGCCTTGCTCATGGGCTCAGAGTGGGGCGAATGAGGGTGGAAGGAGGTGTGGGTGTTCCACTTTTTCCACCCACATTTTTTATGTTGACGATACTGGGAGTTGAACCTGCGACTTTCTAATCACAGGCCCATCTTCTAACCTCTGCGTCACCACTCCCCCCGCAAATACAGTTAGCCAATCAGTGTTTGCCCTCTACAAACGCCTATTCTCTAGAAACGCCCACTTCTGATCTGCAGAGAACGCCTCCTCAGACTTTGTGTGGATGGGGGCGCTAATGGCACGGATTTTTTTAAAAACTGTAAACATCATAAACGATGATAAGTATTTACTATCCTGGCCGTGGCGATTTTAACGTAGAGGTGGACAAGCGGTAACGCCGGGCAGAGTTAGAAAAATATAATGTTGGTTTTGTGGTTTTTGGCCCGACTCGGTCCGATAGGCTAAAACCTGACGATGCTAATGCTAGCTCGGCTAGTCAGCAGCTTGGCGGAGTCTTGAGTCGAGCGTCATAGTTTCGTGTCGTCGTGTTTTTGTCTCCGCAGCTTTAACTTTGTTACAACCTGACAAAGACGCAGCAGGGAGTGTGAATGTTCATGTTTTCCCTTCAGCTCGCGGCTCTTGTTGTTTACTGAGTGAGCTCACTGTGGCGCTGCATGGGGTGGAGTTTTTCATTAGCACGGCCACACAGGCTGGAGCACCAGTAGGTGTCGGTCATAATGGAGCCGAGCAGGAGCCGCTGGAAGTCCCGACATAAACGCAGCTGGGTCCGAGCCGGAACCGCAGCCGTGTTCTGGATGTGTGCGACCCAGTTGGTTTGCTGCACCGGAACCATCGAGGGGGGGTCCAAGTCCATCGTCCAGAAAGATGCGGAGTTTGACGTGACCTACAATGACACGGTCACCAGCGAAAACCAGACCATCTACGCCTTCAACCACACCATATCCAGGAACAAGGTGGGTGCTCCCGGTTCGAGCAGAACCTTTGGCTCTGTTCATGTGGATCCATGACTCTGTGTTTGCTCGTCAGACGGAGGGGGTCCGCGTGTCCGTGGATGTGCTGCAGCAACAGGTGGAGAGCCCCATCCTGTTCGTGATCCGGCAGAAGCAGGCTGTCATGTCCTTTCAAGTCCCCCTCATTCTGAGAGGCCTGTGAGTGAAACCTGTCGGAACCTGCAAGTTACATTTTATGGATTTGTGTTTTTATTATAATGCCAGCTCCTCAGCCTCCCAGTCTGAGTCCAGTTTATTGAGAGTTGAGAAATGAGAACCTGTTGACCATGTCACAACACTTTTCCAATAAACTGTAATGGCGTTTAACAAGTTTTAAACCAGTCTACGCAACACTCAGCGGACCTGCTTCTGTCCAACTGGGTTTTAAAGCAGACCCTGCCTGAACTGAGGAGGTCCTGTATGTAACCATCTGATCCTGTTGTTTGTGTTTCCCTTACGAGCAGGACTTCAGGTCATGTGAGGGAGCGGTGTATTCACCGCCTGTGCCTGTTGTAAATTTTGTTGATTTGGTCATGGGCGAAGGTGAGGAGAAGTCTGTCGGTCTGCTAGCATTTGTGTAAACAAATTATTTCAATTAAAAAAGCTTTAAATGAGACCGAGATTATCTGTCTGGGTTCAAAAATAGAATCAATCTCAACGTGTGGGGATGAATAATTTCTCTGCAGTTTCATTAAATTATGTAAAAAGTTGTCATTTGTCACAAAAAAGGTAAAAAAAAAAAAATTCAACATATTTTTAAAGAGTGCCATTAAAGTCTCAGCAAATGTTCTTTGATGAATGTGCAGAAGTTTTTATTAATGAGCTAGTAATAAATCTTTACCTCAAAGATGGAGTTTGCTACTAAAGATAATGACCTATATTATGTTAGTTATATTATTCATAGCGATGAACTGTTTACAAGACAGTGGTGATGTTGTATGGTCTGGAGACAGAGACATGGACAAAAAGACATGAGACAGAACTGGAAGTGGCAGAAATGAAGATGTTGACGTTCTCCTTAGGAGTGACAAGGATGGATTAGATTAGGAATGAGATCATCAGAGGTACAGCACAGGTTGAAGAACTGGGAGATGAAGTGCTGATGAATCATACTGGTTGGTTTTTGGAATAGAAGTAGCTGAAAACATGAGCAAACAGTCTGAGTTGCTGAAAAAGTTTTTTTTTTTTTTTGCACCTTCTGAAAACTCAAGCTGCTTCTGTTTAATATGATCAAAGATGCAGATTTGTAATATTCCAACCCACTTGTATAAAAAATAGATTTGATTTTCAGGGCATGGCCCTGTCTGGCAGGAAAATCACACGTTCAGTTGTTGGTCACCACTCGGCGTAACAAACCTACAGATGTGACTTTTAGGGAAAAGGGTAAATTGACACACGTCACTGCTGTGTGGCGACGAGAGGACACAGCCATTATAATCTGACACAGTCAGATGGAGTCTGAAGTGCAGCAGATTATTGTACGTTTTAAATTCTGTGGTCTTTGTCTCCTGTGTTGTGATGTAGTGATTTTGGTTGCGTAACAGCAGAACTGCCCTGTTGTCTTGCCGGTGCTTGGTCAGGTGTGTTCTGACTGCGCTCACATGAAACTTTCACTTTTACTTCCTCCTTGGAGATTCACAAGCTCCGTTTTCAGGAACCTCCTTCTTGTACACGAATGAATGACCAGTGCACCGTATGTTTTGAAACGACAAACGTTTGTTTCCAGCAGTGTGCAGATATATTTCAGCCAGAGCTGCGTCATAACTGAGTTTGCTTCTAGAGGACTGATGATGATATGTTCATAATCTGATTCTAAACTTACAGAACATGAACTCTGTTCCTGTTGTAGTGCTCTAATAAAAAGTCCTTCTTATGTAAGAATATTCACTTTGAGTTGTGACTATTACTTTCTTGTAATTTAGAGGGAAAACGAGCAGTACACGCCCATGTCCCTCGTCACTGAGGACGTTACATAGTGAATGTTTGTAGTTGTCAAGAATTTGACTGAAATTGAGCAGAGGATGCAGTAAACCTTAATGTTTTAGGTGCAAGATGTTCAAGTGGGTAGGAGTTACACTTTGGAGAAGAACAGAGGGAGGTTATTTTGTTTGTTTGTTTTGCTTGTTCAAGGCAGAACAGAGTGAAGGATCCAGCACCAGAAGCAATAGGGGAGCCAGGGGGTGGCCAATGGTGGCCTTACCCACCATAGATTCATCTTTGGCCACCCCAATCACATGAGGAAACTATACTTGAAGCATTAAATTAAACTAGAAAGCAGTTTCCTAAAATGTGAGCCAGACAGAGACACATAGACACCTTTTTTATACTACGTAGATGTAGCCACACACCGTGGTGGTGCAGAGGCTAGAGAAGGTGGGCCTGTGATCGGAAGATCGCCGGTTCAACTCTCGGTACTGACGCTGTCAAAAATGTGGGTGGGATAGGCGAAGCACCCGCACCTGCCCCACTCTGGGCCCTTGAGCAAGGCCCTTAACCCCCACCATCTGCTCCCCCGGGCGCCCTAGATGGCAGCTCTCTGCTCCACACAGAGGGCTGTGGTAGCTCAGTGGTCTGGGTTGTGTCAGGAAGGACATCTGGTGTAAATGTCTTTGTGTGACTTAGTTCACTGTGGTGACCCCTGAAGAAGGTGAAAAAAAAAAAATGTAGCCACACGCCAAAATGGAAGTTGGTCCCTCACTTATTTTTCAATTTATTAAAGTTATCATGCTGACAACATGCACGGACAGACTGGTCTACTTTTTGTCCCCCTCTTCTCTCAGCGATAGGGGACAAAAAACACAGATGTGTGAATATTCAAACTTCAAAACGTACTTTGGAGTGACTGAACCACAAAGCTTAAGGTCTCCAGTCATTCCCTGCAGTTCAACACCGTCTGTTTTTCTCTTCTCTCAATCTTCAGCTACCAGAGGAAGTACCCTTACAAACACATCGCTCGAACGTTGTGCCAACCTCCGACGCGGGCCGCCTCTGAGACCCAGTACTTTTTTGTGGACGTGTCTACACTGTCAGGCCAGGGTACAAACTACCTGCTGCGCGTCAGCCGCGTGGAGAGCTTCACCCTGCAGTGAGTGCTCTGATAACACAAACGCTCTCTAAGCTCCGCTCCAAACACCAGAGTTTTTATTATTTTTTTACAAGGTGAAGCTTCCAGCAGTGGCTGACGAGTTGTTTTCATTCTGTTTACAGGACGGACAAGAAATTCACCTTCACTGCATCACCGTCCCAGCCCCAGGTAAACCAGCCTGATCCCAGTGTTCAGAACCTTGTCACACAAATACACACAGCAGACTACGTGGCCATGGGTGGGGAGGGTGTGCTGGGGGGAAGTAGGCGAACAGGAAGCTGACTGGAGGGATTTAACAGTTTTTACAGTTTCTCAAAGAGTAGATAAGTCTCTTTATCACCTGCCCCGCACCTCCAAAGGCTAAAGGTGAATCTTGGTTGCCACCTTTGCAGATACTGAGCTAAATGCAGTGTAGTAGCAGCTGAATGTCATCCTCAACACTCCATGCACTGTCACACCTTTGAATAACAATATTCAGAAGGTTTGGTTAGTTTATTTAAAGCAGTATTAATGTTTTGCGTTTTTACAACTCGTGCGTTGTAAAATGCTCCCGGTGCTGTTTATCCTGACTGCTTTGATTTCTTTAAGATATTTTTCTGTTAGTGTTGTGAACTTGGTGCTGATGACAGATTATACAAAAGCCTGTGATTGTTGCTGCCCTGATACTTTGTGTTGTCAGCAAAAACAACTCGGGCTACTTTCACATGCACAGTTTTGCAGAAATACACTTTTACAGAAAGTCAAAGGTGAAACCAAAACTGTTTTCTTGGAGTTGAGCCACAGAGGTGAGGAAACTTAGGAGTCCTCAGTGAAGCAAGCGTGGGATTGTTTCACAGATGTTATTAAATGTCGGAGGAAGCCACAGAAACGGGAACTTTGCACCACTGGTTGACCAAGATGAGTTTTCCTACGGCTGATGTCAATGTTTATAAATCAGTGAGGCTGATGGCTGATTTACAACATCAATATATATATTTTAATTTTCAAAAGCTAACATTAACTGCTTTATTTGAATAATTGCATATTTTAACAAAATTTTTAGTTGCCAGTGGCAGCTGCTACAGCCAGCTTATTGTAACCTGTTAGATGCCCCAGCATCACTTTTCCAAATGAGTCTGCTTAATTGACTCTGTTGTGATTGGCTGATGGGACTTTAAAAGAAGCTCTGCCTGCTGGATGAGTGAGGGTGGGCGGCGGAGAGGAGAGTCTGACGTGTTCATCTGATGGTTTTCCATCTTCACCGTGTCACTTGGTGAAGATGATGTTTTGATTGTTAGCTGGATCTGGGAGTTAAAGGCAGACCTTGATTTTGTTTTTTTGTTTGTAGGATTAGATCTTGAACTGTAGGGGAGCCCCCAGCAACGGTCAACCGCTGGCAGGTTCTTCTTCCTGCTTTTGTTTATTGTAGCCGAGGCTCCCACTTCCCCTTTTTTCTGTTCAGATGATTGTTTTTATTAAAATATATTACCGGTATTTAAACCATTATGATTTTTTCATTCAAGATTTATTTATACAAGTTAGTCTCATTGAGTCACGAGGGCTCATTTACAAGAGAGACCTGTTTTAGAGAGACAACATAAAGAACAGATAACAATAAAATGTAATAGAAAATAAAAATAGTGTTATAAAACAATGAAATCAAGGTGCATTATATAAAAAAAAGGTAAAATACCAAAAACAAGAACATACGGTATTTGCTTTGATTTTTCTATTGACGTTATCAAATGTTTAAACCCCCCTAAATAAATTAAGGTGGACAGCTTCACTTCCTGTTGCAAGGTGTTCCAGGTTACAGGAGCAGAGTAGGAAAAGGCCTTTTTGCCAAGTTCAGTCTGCACTGAGGGAACGCTGCAGGTAATGATGTCTTGACGGCACACGCCGTAACTGCACTGACAATGTGACAAGTGGGAGGAGAAATAAGAAGGTAGCAGACCAAGGAGAGATTTATAGATGAAAATTAACCGGTGTGAGAGTTTCCGTGTAAATAACGGTGACCAACTGATCAATGAATAAATGAATACATGATGGATACGGTAGTTACAACCAGTTATGAATCTTACTGCTCCATGCTAGACAGCATCCAACATCTGCAAGGAGCTGGCAGGGGGATTCATGTAAATAATATCACCAATGGCCTGTAGGAAAGTAGCAGCTACAAGGCATTTCCTGGCACTCAGAGTTAAACAAGATCTATTTCTGAAAAAGAAATCCAGTTTTAATTTCAGTTTCTTTATCAAGTTTTAAATATGTGGTGAGAGGTGCATCAACCAAAATTCACAAATATTTGTAAGAATCTACAAACTCAGTAGGAACACCATGCATGGATGAGATAGGAGGAAGAGTTGCTGGCACCAACTTCCTGTTTGAAAACAACATACCTTTGTATCCTGATGCATGCCCAACATACCTTTGGTTTTATCAGCATTTAGCACCAGTTTGAGATGGAATAAGTCAGACTGAATGATGTCAAATGCAGACTGGAAGCTCAAGGAAAACCTTGGCAACTGTGTTAGCTCAGCAATAAACAATTGTACCGTCGTCATAGAAATGTAAGGAGGTGTCAGGAATGTTTTGATCTACATTACTTGTATAAAGTGTAAAGAGAGTGAGTCCATAAACTGAGCCTTGTGGCACACCATTATTGACAGTTAAATAGCTAAAAGTACCATTTTGTTGAACATATTGTTGAACACTGTTGCCTTTGATTGTCTGGACTTCATCCATTGTGCGTTCTGTGAGTCACTCCTAGACATGCGGGCCATAACATATTTGGGGGCTCATCCGTTTCATTACACATAACACTCTTAAACAATTCTGAACAATTTAGAGTTCCCATTGACTCTGGAAATCAGGGAAATCTGCAGAATTACCTCCACGTTTTCCAGACAGGGGAAATGGAGAACTTGAACACAGATCTGCAGATCAAAAGATGATCTTTCTGAGGTTTTACTGTGTTTATGTATTAATGCTAATATTCTAGTGTCACAGAGTTCATCAGTGTGTATATGTATCCTTAGTGATTGGCTGTGGTGGCTTTTTAGTTTCTGATGTCTAATATAAATAATTATTAGGAATGACTGTTGTATGCACATACTGACGGCTGCAGTATACTTCCTGTCATCTCTGAATGTGACACTGCTCGCCACCGAAGTCCTTAAGTTCAGAATGTTTTGTTCAACTGCAATATTTCCTGGAATTTCATGATTTATTCAGGGAATAATCTGGAAATTTTGTTTTCATGAAATGCTCTGGCTTGGTTTTCTTTAAGCATGAATGCTTTTCTATGAATCATTTAAGTGTATGTTTTTCTTTGTTTTTTAAGTATATATTTGTTTAAGTAAATATTGTTATAGTTTGTTAAATGAGAAATGGATATTTGACCAAAACAATGCACTGTTTGTCAATCATTGGCCTGGTTTCTTAATATAGACATTTAGAAAAACTAATTTTTGTCAACCTCCATTTGTTGTTTCTTCTTCGGGCTTTTATTGTTGTAAATTGTTGCATTTTCAAACTGGACCTAATAGAGGGGTTGGCATTGTAATAGTTTGGTTGCAAGCCATAAGTGTAGTCATTTAAAAAAAAAAAAAGTTTTTTATGTTGTTTCAAGCTACAACTTAGAGGCTGACCAGCCAAAGAGTGAATTCTAATCCAACCCTTCTCTCAAAGCCTTCCTGCTGTCCTCTGTTGTCTTGTTTCTCCTCAGTTCTTTAAGTACGTCTTCCCAGATGGGGTGGATACCGTCATCGTCAAGGTCAACGCGGACATGAACTTCCCCTGCTCCGTTATGTCTGTTCAGGACATCCAGGTACACACAGAGCTGTGGACATTATATGTCCTCCTCCTGCCTGTCCCCTCACAGCAGACCCTGTCCTTATGTTGCCTCGTCCCATAGTTCATTTGTCAACATGAAGTTACATTTCACTGCCAGACAGCCTTAATTTAAACTGTAATTTTTAAATGCTATTGGGGGAGGGAGCTCAATTGTGTTTTTTTTTCTTTTACTTTTATTTAAATGTGTCCTTTAACTTTATTTAATTTATCAAAGTATCATGTGCATCATTTATGTTTTAATTTTTCTTTCTTAATAGTGCCCCGTCTATGACCTTGACAACAACGTGGCCTTTATTGGGATGTACCAGACGATGACTAAAAAAGGTGCCATCACTGTGCAGGTAGGTTTGTTGTACCCCGTCACAGAGCGAAGAGGGGGAATTGGAAATATCATCCATTGTGTTGTGAGCATGATAACATGTAAATTGAGCACCCCGATCATTGAGGAAACTAGACTTTTAAGCAAAACAGAAACTGTGCTTTCTAGTTTCGATATTGCTTAAAAGTGTAGTTTTGTCAAATGATTGGGGTGGCCGAAGGTTACCGGTAATCTATGGTGACCAAGGCCGCCTTTGTCCATCCCCTGGCTCCTGCATTGAACTTGGTGGTGGACAAATTTGCTCCCTCCACTCACCAGAATCCATCACTCTGCGCTGCTTCAGACAAGCAAGAAAAAAACCCAACAATCTCTATTTGAAAACAAAACATTCACTATTGAAATCCTCAACGACGGGAGACATCGACGTGCTGCTATTTGTGTTTTTTACATTATGCTAAGCCTCGTGACAAAGCACAAAATACATGTGAATATAGACGCCATCATCCCACAAACATCTCATGACTCCTTGTTCTTCTAGAGGAAGGACTTTCCTAGCAACAGCTTCTACGTGGTGGTGGTTGTAAAAACAGAGGACGAGGCATGTGGCGGTCCACTGAGGTTTTACCCCCTGCGCCCCGACGAGCTGATAGACGCCGGGAACCGCACCAAGGTCCTCGATGTGGTGGTCTCTCCTGCCATCACCTGTGAGTTACTTATTTAAAGTAACAGTATCTGTTTATACTCAGATACCAGCAGAATGATGGATTCAACCTATATGAATCAGCTTTTACTTTATATTTACTCAGTCACTTGTTTTCAGCCGCTAGATGGCACTCAAGTAGTAAGGCATGCTGTCGTATCATGTAATAGGTAAAAGTGGCTATTAATGACACAATTGGCTTGCCATAGCCTGCCACTGTCGTCTGCCTGGAGCAACCGTTAAATCAGATTTGACCGTTGACGTTAAGTAAAAGTTCAACCGAGACACACCTGTACTATAAAGTTGAGCAAACAAACAATTGTTTTTAGATGGTTATCTTGTTAATTTTTAAAGAAATGGACAGCGAGTCGCCCTCTGCACATTCACGTTTCCACGTATCGGCTTTTGAAAATGCAGCTGATTTGACTGTCGAAGTGCATTTATTAAAGAAAAGTTCAACTGAGACACACCTTTGCTATAATTTCGAACAAACAAACAATTGTTTTTAAGTGTTAATTTTCTTAAATTCTTGTTAAAGTCCTAGCATGCACTCTGCCGCGGCTGCCATTTGGCAGCCAGCTGATTTTTGACACAACACCGGCCCATGTTTCCAGGTTGTCTATGGTGATGCGTAACAAATGCTATGCGTCAGCAGTGACGCATATTAGATGCGACGTATACGGCGAAACGACGTATTTATGGATTTTTCCACTTTATTAGACATCTTTGGACTGATGCGACTTATAAGGCAGAGCGACGTTTACGGTGGAAAATACAGTAGATGTAATTCTTTTGTTGCATCTCTAATGTTTGGTGTTCATAGACTGTAGAAGTTTTATCTGGACACAAAAATCAGTTTGATTCACTCCTCGGTTCATTTTGAATACCCCAGAGGCAGAGGAGTCGAAACAAACAAACAAACAAAAACAAAACAAAACAAAACAAAACAAAAAAAAAAAATATATATATATATATATATATATATATTTTTTTTTTTATTTTTTATGGTAAACTAAATATGCAACAGAACAGTCTTTACTCATGTTAAAAAGGTCATCTTGAAATAAACATTCTCCAAAGTTAATTAAAACATATTTTTTAATATGCATATTTATAAAATGTTGCTAGACCAGTACTGTGTTTTTATGTGGATAGCTGCTCTGGCTCTGTAGCAGACTCTGTCCTGGAGTTGCTCTGCCAGATGTTTATTTGATTTTTTTTCCCAGTTAATTAACCCTCAGAGGCCCTGGATGTTCTTCCATCAGTCGTAAGAATGATGACAGAAGCTTTAAATAAAACATGGACCCCTGTAGATTATATTTTCTTATAAAGGTCTGGCTGAAATGGCGGCAAGAGGGGCTGTATCTCTTAAAATTAGAGTACTCTACACATCAGCTCGGCAGTAAATATGTGGATCAGTTTCCTCACAGATAAAATACAACTACAAAATTATAAAAGTGTTTGTTGCTTATTGGTCAATATTTTAAATTTAATTGTGCAAAAGACATGTTTCTGTCAGGGTACTTTGGTCAAGGTTTGGATGTTTTTAACTACTATGTCTGAGAATATTAACTGCCCATGAACCATGTGTTTGAGTCAGCAGAGTTCTGTTCTCTCTGAGAGGGCTGAATGAGGAGCTGATTTGATCCTGCATGTGTAGCTGGATGGCCAAGGACACCAGTGTCTGCCTGTGAGCTGTGAGAGCTGATAAGCTTATAAAAACAAACCTCACACTGCCAGTGGCAGATTCTCATGACTGGGCTCCATGCATGTAGAATGGTAAATGGTAAATGGTAAATGGACTGTACTTATAAAGCTCCTTTCTCTCTCATCAAGATACTGAAAGCTCTTAACAGCACAACATGCGTCCTCATTTACCCATTCATACAGCACTCTACTAGATCTCTACAAAGACTAATCAGTGCTTTATAACATTCATACACCGATGGGACACACATCGGAGGCAATGAGGGGTTCAGTGTCTTGCCCAGGGACACTTCAGCATGTGACTGCTGATGGAATCAAACCCCCAGCTCTCCCATTGGAGGACGACTGCTCTAACCACTCAGCCACAGCCGCCCACTAGAACCTCGTACATTGGTGTAACCTGTTGTGAAAGTCTGCCCTTGCAAGTAAAACTGGTTAAAAATCTTCTCGTGTCCTCGAGTGTGGCGTCTTTGAGTAAAATGAATAGAAGATATTTATATCCATCAGTTTCAACACTGTTTGTTGTTTCCTCAGACTCTGGGGACAAGACAGGTGTTCTGTGGAGCTCTGTCCCTTTTAGCAGAAGTTAAAATCTGCTTGCTTGGATCACATGGGCAACTATGTTTGCATCTCCTCCCCCCTTGTACAGTTATAAATAATGACAACGTAGCTTACCGCTGCTTTAATCATTCAGTCTGACTTGTGATTTGTGCACATGTATTTGTCCTATTGTATGCACGGCCTACGTGTGCAAGTTGAAATGTGTGTCTTTGAAAAACTGTTTATGTAAATTTTCTGGTATGCTTTTGTGACTACTTTTGAGACTAATTTGTCTTCGTACTAAACTAACTATGGGTATTTGTCCATTTTATGGTAAAACAGGCTATTTTTAGTCTCAAAACCAGTTTTTATGTCACTGTCGTGGAGAGTTGGTTTCAAGTTCAATTGTGTTTTTCCACAGCTGAGAAATATGTGATCGGGATGCTGTTCTGTCTGGGGATCTTCCTCTCGTTCTACCTGTTGACCCTGCTGGTTACCTGCATAGAAAACAAGAGGTAACATTTTCACTTCACCGCTTTGTTTATTTCCAAGATCTAAAAAAAACAAACGTTTTTTACTTTCTAATTAGTTTTAATCTGACTGAAGTTTGAGATATTTCACAATCTGCTGCCAGTCTGTCTAGTGGTACCAAGTTTTATTGATTTGGTTTCTTCTTGTTTTAATTTTCTCAAATTTAACCTCAGCTGTAATTTATAAAACATGTTAATTTTATCTTATACTGCAGGAACAGACGTCAGTTTGTAAAAAAAAAAAAAACATTTAAAGAGACGGGACTAGAGCATCACAAGCTGCTCAAGGTGACTGGTGCTTTAGAGTAAACGAGGAGAAAAAACTAAAAGATAAAACCGATGCTGAACTCCTGCAGCTCTGACTAGAGGCTGACATGAGCTTTAATTATCGCGTTAAAAGCTCTGGGTTTTCAGTTCCACCAGCTGTTGTGTAGTAATATGTTAACGTAACGAGGTCTGTACACCTTTTAACAGGTGTCCAATGAAAAACAAGAAATGCGGATGACCTCGATTAAACTAAAGGTGGATTCTTAGCAGTGTTTTGTTCCCCCTCACTTGAATTAAACCAAAACCCAGTTGGTTAAGTCATAAAATTCTGTAACGTTTATTGTAAGTTTGAATAACAACAACAATATGAAATTATGGCAAATGTGAAATATGAATGCATAACCAATAGTGCTATTTCTGAAGGGTGAATAATGTAAAATAGTTTAAACTTAGAGGAGAGATGTTGTCTAAATTTAGGACTAATGCTTAAAAATTAAGGCAAGTGTCTGAGGTTCGTGAAGTAACTTAAAAGTGTCTAAAAAACGAGTTGGCACTGAGTCTGAAGTTTTTCTTCAGGAGGAGGATGGCTTGTTCCTACCCAGAGCTGTAGATCTCATTACCACGATGAGGTGGTAATGAGTGGTATGAAGTGAAAGGGCCGGTGTTCACCATCCCAGGAGGTGATATTTCTCTAGAACCATGTCTCTCCGGTCAGACAGCACCATCGTTCCAGGGTGTCTGAGAGAGTTTTGTGTGGACTTCTCCACATCTCAACAAACTTGGCTCCTTCCAAGATGGAAGATGGAGGGCCCGGAGCCCACGGGTTCCTTCAGGCTTGTTTGAAGGAGGCCCGAAGCAAACGACACGACAAGACATTCTCCTCCCCCGAGTTCCAGTTTTACCTGGTTCTAGAAGGGGGTGTGCCTATGCAAATTGTATCCAACCAACGCAACTCTGACCAACATAATGGGCGTTAACTGAGTTGCATAAATTAATTTTGATTATAACCTCTCAAAGCTTAAAGGTTAAACTGTGACTGCTTTGTTTACCCAGTAACACCATTTATTCACAAATGTACATTTGAGTTTTTCACACAATACTGTGAACAAAACAGGGTTTCTGTTTGAAGCTCTGTCTAATTGGCATCGCTGTCATGGCTGGTGTGGTGATCACACAATACTGTTTTTAAGACCGTTGTTCTCCAATGACCTTGTGAATTACCATACCATCCTGTAACTAGAGTATTGCCATAGAAACCAATACTTCTTGTGTCCTTAGGGAATGGTCCAGTTCTATCCTCGACTCCTTCGTTGAATGTACTGGTAGATTGTGAGGTGTCGCCCTGTCTGGCTTTTTACGAGAGGGAGTTGATAAACTTTGCAGGAGGTAGATTCTGTTACTTTGATATAGACTTTTTGGAGACACAAAGAGGGAGAGGAAGAGTTTAGTTCCAGTGTCTCTGAGGACAGGATGTGGACTATCTGAGGGACGTAGAACGTAGAAATCACTGATCTCCATTTTCTATGACACACCTTTTTGTCTCTTAAATCGGACACCACGATGGTTCACCTCTAAAATCTTCCATCTTAGCGATTGTTCTGACTTTCAGTCGGATCTGTGCGGTGGAAACACCTCAGCCGTCTGCTCTGTGTGTGTTCACCCAGTCGTCAAGAATGTTTTCAAGTTTGGTCATCTGCTTTTTTTTTTTTTAACTCTGGAAGCTTTTGTCATCTTTTTGCATTGATTCAGTTCTTCACGCTGCCGTCTCCAACATCTCACCATCGATTCACTGACGCCAAGCTTACATGCAGCAGCTATATTTCTTTCTTCGACAGCCAGATCGATCGCCTTGAACTTGAAAGCTGCATTATATGCATGTCTTCATGTGTTTTCCATGATGGGGGGGTGTGCATGAAGCGCAACACCAATCTTAATAATTTAGTGTGAGTGCGTTTGATTTTACGGTAATTTGAAGTTTCATTGGTTCGACTATGGCCTGTTCAGTAATTTCATTGGTCAGATTTTTTATTTTATTTTTTAACATGTATTTATACAGTTCATTCAACCTTTATTTATACAGGTAGTCTCACTGAGTTACGAGGACCCACCCCCCCTAGAGAGACGTGTATTGGACAGCTATGTGAGCGCCCGAGTGATGAAGCTAAATGTTTTTGGTGGCACGAAGCTCGTTAGCCCATCAAAACAAACAAACAAACTACAAATCCATAAATTAGCCGCAGCAGTGTATAACACGTGGGGTTCAAAGCGTGTGAAAAAAGTAGCAGCTTATAGTCCAGAAATTACGGTAGCTGTAGACGCTCATACAGACACAAGCAAAAACATTTGTGTTTTAGTGGTATTTGATATAGTTCTCATTGTTATGACCGACAACCTGTAAAACATTAGTGAGATGTGTACGCCTGCAGTTTAACAGGATCGAGCTCGGTTCATTTTCATCGTTTTGTTTGTTTTGTCAGGATGAAGAGGACAGAGATGTTTCAGGTTCCTGCTGACATGTCGCCTGCTGAGACCGGTAACACAGCTGCTGTCATAGATTTACATCGTTTACATTTACATGGCATCGTTTTACAGATAAACTGTATTATTTTATCTAAATTAGATGTTAACCAGTAACCCAGTATCCTCTTTGTTGATGAGTAAATGACGCCTTAGATGTTTGTGTTTACTGACTGTGTATCTCTCTCCCTCATGCTGAATGTGTGGTTCAGCCTCTCTTCTTGGAAAGAACAGCGATGGTATAATGACACAGCTGCTCCTCTTGTGCCGCCCTTCCTCACACTGCTGTGCTTGTTTCAGATGCTCTCTGCATGCAGTCACTTGCACACTCAAACTCTCTGGAGTTAAAGCTCCCTAAAGAACTGCAGCTCTGCAGAAAAGAACACAAACGGTGCTCTGTTGGATGCTGTATTCTGTGGACTGTGCATGAACATGAATGTAACTTGGAGTTTTATAACTTTGAACAAATAAACATAAAGGATAGAGGCCCATTTGGGTGCGTTTCAGGGGCACCTAGGCACATCATCAGTAATGTTAAAGCCTTAAGAGCTGTCAAAAGAGCACTATTCGTTAATAATTGAAATTCTTATGCATCTTTTTACATCATTAAATGATCGTATGGAGTTAATGTAACAAAATCATGAGGGTTTTTGTGAAAAGAGCGTTCAACGTTTGAATGTAAACAAAAAGACTCATAATGTCAACAAAACATGACTGCTGATTTCACTCATTTATTACAAAGTAAGTTGTTCACATTTGGCTGTTAATGATAGGTATTTATTTTTATCATAGATGATACACATAAAAAATCAAATCATAAAAATAAACCACGTTTTGACTGATATTATGGCTTTAAACATCATATTTATGTAAATGTGACGAGTAATAATTTATATTAAAACAATGCTGCTGATATGCTTCTGCAATTCAAAGTGGCACTTATGTGTTTGTGCTCAGTCCCGTGCAGCTTCTAACCTTTTCTGAACCAGGCCTGACACGTCTGAAGAAACTGTTTTTTATTTTATTGGACCGCCTGAAAGGGGAAAAGTAACCTCCAGGCATCAATACACACAGGATCTCTGGATGTGTTTATGCCTTCCTTCCTCATCTACATGTTTGTCACCTAACTCGTGCAGTGGCTTTGTAGACACTAACAGTGTTGTCTGTAGCGGTGCCTGTTTGAATGTATGAAGTTTGTGAACATGTGCTCATTTTCTCCACAGGTAAGACTCCAGCCTCACCGTATGAATATGGCTCCTTTGGTGAGTTTGGAACATGTTTTATTCTTTTTGTTGTGTCTTTATTTGAGTTAAAGGCTATATCTGCTTCCTTGCAGCTGACAACGGCAGCACGCTGAGCTCGGAGGCCATCACGGACAGCGCCACGTCTACTGACAACAACTATGGATACATGGGTATGGAAGTTCACACATCCAGCACTTTGAAACGTTTTCACACCATGTCAAGTTTTACACATTTCATCACAATACAACCACGAACTTTAAAATATTTCACTGAGATTTTGTGTGACAAGCACAAATAATGCATAATTGTGAAGTGGAATGGTCCCCACTGTGAAACATGGTGGTGGCAGCATCATGCTGTGGGGCTGCTTTTCTTAGTAGAGACCATGAAGCTGGTCAGAGTTGGTGGCAAGATGGATGGAGCCAAACACGGAAGAAAACCTGCAAAAGACTTGAAAATGTGGGGGAGGTTCACCTTCCAGCAGGTCCATGACCCCAATCACTCAGACATAACCACAGTGGAAGAGTTTGGATCAAAACATGCTCATGTGTTAGGACGGTCCAGTCAAAGTCCAGAATACCCCAGAGGCAGACGCTCTTAAGAGCACAGAATGTCATGATCTCCGCTCTCTGCCACGCCCACTTCTCCACTGCAGTCACACAAATTACATCCCGATCTCCCTCCTTCTATGTAAATAAACAATTTAAATTTAAATACTGTAACATTTTAAATAAACAGCCCATGCTGCATGGATTGTTTATTTAAAATGTTGCAGTATTTAAATGGTAGAGCAGAGAAACGCAGCAGGACATCAAAGGGTTAACCCTTCACGCAGCTCTGCAGCACAGAGCAGAAATGTACATATTGATCAATTATACTGTAACAACTGGACGTAGAAGTTCTAAAATAATTAAAAATAACTTTTAACACTTTTATATATACAGTATCATGCACCAAAAACATTGTTTACGTCATTCTCTGTTCAATTCCAGTCCAGAAAAACACTCGACTCCAAAACTAAAAACATTCATCATTCAAATCCCACAGCGACACTGATCCACCGCTTGTTTTCAGTAAAATCTGCTGTAGACCGTGTGTACTTTTACTTTATGATGTTATGCTGCTGTTGTTGGTCTGTCACATTGAATGCCTCTGAAATCATTAGATGTTTGTGGTCGTAATGTTGCAGCTGGAGCCTCAGGCCCTCTGCAGCATCTCCTCACAGTTCATCAGAGAGCGCCTCTGGACCCTCACTGCTCTTCTGTTTGTTTTCATTAATCAGGACAGGAGGCTTGCAAACGTCGGCCAATCCTAAATCACCTTCACCACGTAGCCATCCGCATCGGTGACACTCGGCTGCACACCTTCTCTAATCACTCCCCAGATTTGCTTCAAACCAATCGGCACAGTTTTAATCACACCTCAATGAAAACCAGAAAGAGACGTCCAGTTCTATTTCATCCCTCCTGACCGCCAGAGGGCGGTGCTGAAAGCACTGAATGTTCCCTTCGCGCATGCGCTGATTCGAGTAATAATACCAACGGAGTCACAGGTGTGACACGGATGACCAATCAGAGGCTATATAGCCCGACATCATCCGCTGCTCTGCTCCTATTTTCTTCTCGCGCGCGGTTCAATTCAGGGCTTCAGCCCTTTGGACCTTTTCTGAACTTTTTACCGTCGTCGGAAGCCCGACTGCCCGTCTGCGGGAGTAGCGTGCTCGCCCTCCTAGGGCTGCGACGGTTTAACCCTGTTCAAAGGTATTTCTGCTGTTTCGTTGGGAACTACGGCGGTTTCCGCCTCTCCCAACTTACAGCGTCTGACTACTATGTGTGTGATTCAACACCGGTGAGTAGTGTTTTCCTTGGTCCAAGCTCGCCGACAGGTCTGGTTAGCGCAGTCAGCATTGACTGAGCCATGCCGTAGAGCCCTCCGTAATGTCCCAGTGGTGCCGGGGGAGTTGTTCGGTTCGGCTGCCTTGGAAGCGCTGGAACGGACTGTCCAGGCACGACAGAGAAGGCAGCAATTTTCGAGCCTTAGCAGGCCAATGCCCCCTCCACCTCCTCGGCATCCAAGGCGCCTGTCGGCTGGCTCCAGCATGCAGCCGCCGCCTGGGGGTCATAACCGGCCGGGTGGTCCTTACCCTCATGCGGTTCAGCAAAGGCCCAGCAGGAGCTTTCGTGGGTTGGTCCACCGACCAGCTGGGCAGGCTCGGACCAGGGACTCTGGCTGCCGCCCCCCCACGGCCCCTAGGGGTCGTGGAGGGAGACGGTGATGCCATCAGGCCGACCGTCGGATATTTCTCCCACCAGCAGCTCAGCTATTGGGTTGCTCACGCCGTGGACCCATGGGTGGTTGCCACTCTGACCCATGGTTACCGGCTACAGTTCCGACGGCGGCCTCGTATCTCAGGCCGGGTCAAGATGACTGTAATCGCCGACCCGGTGAAAGCTCAAGCACTAGACCAGGAACTTTCCGCCCTCCTGGCCAAGGGCGCAATAGAGGCAGTGGACCCTCTGCAACAACCCAGGGGCTATTACTCGACTTACTTCCTTGTGCAAAAGAGGACGGGCGGGTTTCGTCCCATTTTAGACCTGAGGGGACTCAACCAGTACCTAAAGGAGCTGCCCTTCCACATGCTCACAACAGCAGAAGTCCTTCAAGCTGTCACGAGGGAAGAATGGTTCACATCTGTAGACCTGAAGGATGCATATTTTCATGTGCCTATTGCGGCAGAACATCGCCGCTTTCTCAGGTTTGCCTATCGGGGTCACCACTGGCAGTTTCGGGTACTTCCATTCGGGCTCTCTCTCTCCCCAAGGGTGTTCACTCGGTGCGTGAAGGCAGCCCTCTCTCCTCTGCAGGCCTGCGGAGTGAAGATTCTGCCGTACTTAGACGATTGGCTTCTCTGCGCCCCGTCTCAGGCCTGTGCCTTTCACGACACAAACCGCCTGCTCGCTCATATGTCCCAGTTGGGCCTCAATGTCAACCTGGAGAAGAGCTGCCTGATCCCTTCCCAGACGACCACCTTTCTTGGGGTGGTTCTGGATTCATCTTCAATGAGAGCTCGCCCATCCGCTCAAAGGGTGGCCGGCATACTCCAGCTGGTCAATCGGTTCAGGCTGGGCAAGCAGCTCCCCTATGTTGCCTTCCTGCAACTACTCGGCAAGCTGACATCAGTCACTCGGGTGGTGCCCTTAGGCCTGCTGTCACTTCGCCCCTTGCAGAGGTGGCTCAACAGCTTTCGCCTGGATGCCAGGCTGCACAGGCATCGCAAGCTCGCAGTGACGTGGTCATGTCTTCGTGCCTTGACTCCATGGAGGGACGAAGATTATTTGTCCAGGGGTGTCCCCATGGGAGTGGTAGTGTGTCGCAGGGAAGTGGTCACGACAGATGCCAGCTCCATGGGATGGGGGGCTGTATGGCAACGCAGAGCGGTTCAGGGCCGCTGGGGTCAAAGAGACCATTCCAAGCATATAAATGTGCTGGAGCTGCGTGCAGTGCACTTGGCACTCAGGCACTTCCTGCCTCACCTGGAAGGGAGGCATGTACATGTTCGGTCAGACAACACCTCTGTTGTCTACCACATCAACCATCAGGGGGGCACCAGGTCAGCACAACTTCTGAGTGTGTCCAGAGAGCTCCTGGAATGGGCCTCTCCTCGCCTGTCCACCCTGCAGGCAGCGTACTTGCCAGGGCGACACAATCAGGTCGCAGATTTTCTCTCCCGCCAAGAGTCCCCTCCGGGAGAGTGGTCCCTCCACAGAGACATAGTGCTGATGATCTGGGACCGTTTTGGTCAGGCAGAGATAGACCTGTTTGCGACGGAAGAGTCGACTCAGTGTCCCCTATGGTACTCTCTTACGGGGCGTCGGGTGCGCTAGGCCAGGACGCATTGGCTCATCCTTGGCCAAGGGTCCTTCTATATGCCTTTCCACCCCTTTCTCTAATTTGGCCAACCCTTCAGAGAGTCCTCGAGGAGGGCCACAGGATGCTGCTGGTGGCTCCGTATTGGCCAGCGCGACCATGGTTCCCACTGCTACGAAGTCTATGTCAGGGCGTTCCATGGTGTCTTCCGACCAGAAGGGACTTGCTGTCTCAGTTGGGGGGACTGATATGGCACCCCAATCCTCAACGTCTTCGGCTGTGGGTGTGGCCACTGCAAGGCTAGGACAGCAGCTGACTGGAGTTTCGAGCCCCGTCAGGCGCACCATCCTGGGCGCCAGGGCACCCTCTACTCGTCAGCAGTACGAAAACAGGTGGCGCCTGTTTTCCCAATGGTGTTCGGATCACAACAAGGATCCAGTCTCCTGTACGATACCCACCATTCTGGAGTTTCTCCAGTCTCTACTTGGTAAGGGTCGCTGTCCTTCGACGCTTAAAGTTTATGTAGCGGCAATATCATCTAATCACGCTGGCATTGATGGCTGTACGGTAGGGAGCCATAATCTAGTCTCTCTTTTTCTGCGTGGTGCCCGTAGGTCACACCCGCCGACAGCTCCACGAGCACCAGGTTGGGACCTTCCCTTGGTTCTCGAAGCTCTGTGCCGTCCTCCTTTCGAGCCTCTGTCGCAGGCGGACCTCAAGTGGCTTTCATGTAAGACGGCTTTTTTGTTGGCTATTACCTCAGCAAAGAGGGTCAGCGAGCTACATGCTCTCTCAATCAGCCCCTCATGTCTCAGGTGGGGCCCTGAGGGCTCGTGTGTTACCTTGTGGCCAAATATTGCATTCGTACCAAAGGTGTTATCTCGCTCTCACTCTAACCAACCGTTGAGGCTGGCACGTTTTCAGCCTGCGCCTAGTGAGGGGTCTGCATTATTGTGCCCGGTAAGGGCACTGGAGGCATACGTTGCAGCTACTGCCGTGATAAGACATTCAGACCAGCTGTTTGTGTGTTATGGAGGCCCTAGGTTAGGCTGTCCTCTTTCCAAACAGCGCCTCTCCCACTGGATCGTGGACGTCATCTGCCACGCCTATGCTGCAGGGCCCGGCTCCCTGCCGGTCGGCTTGAAGGCTCACTCTACCAGGAGCGTCTCCGCTTCCTGGGCTGCCCTGAGAGGGGTTCCGCTGGAAGCAATATGTGCTGCTGCATCATGGGCTTCCCCAAGCACGTTCACCAGATTTTATAGAGTTAACGTGGCCACCCCTCATCCCCTGGGCCAGGTTCTTCTACAAGGGTCCTCTGGGCCTCCTCAGTGAGGTAGGTGTTAGGATTCCTTGTGACATCGTTGATATTAGTCATTCAGTGCTTTCAGCACCGCCCTCTGGCGGTCAGGAGGGATGAAATAGAACGAAAGTTACGTATGTAACTACGGTTCTATGAATCCCGGATGACCGCCAGAGCTTCTCCGTCACTCAGAATCCTTGCGTTTCGCGAGAAGATTCTGTAGGAGCAGAGCAGCGGATGATGTCGGGCTATATAGCCTCTGATTGGTCATCCGTGTCACACCTGTGACTCCGTTGGTATTATTACTCGAATCAGCGCATGCGCGAAGGGAACATTCAGTGCTTTCAGCACCGCCCTCTGGCGGTCATCCGGGATTCATAGAACCGTAGTTACATACGTAACTTTCGTTTCTGAGTGACATCGTCCAAATTGAAGCCAGATGATGCAGAATGTACAAAAATCAACAAAAGATTTCAAATCCGTGCTGAAAGTTGGGAAGAGTCATGATTCTCTGTGTTCATTTGTTTACGTTGCTGAAAAGGTCCCCTCTTCCCTTTCCTCCCCCCACCAGAGCGATCTTTGGACAGTGTTGCACGAAGCAGGCAGGAGTCTCTGAGCTCCGTGGAGGAGGACGACTACGACACGTTGGATGACATCGACTCTGACAAAAACATTGTTCGCACCAAGGTACACCACCCTGTTAGTCACGATGCAACGAGTCGTCTTCGTAGTTCAAGTTATAAGCTAGGAAACGCACAAGTGAATAATCTGTAACGTTGTAACATTTGCACGTTAACTTGTCTAAATCAGGGTCTCCAACTGTAAACAACCACAAGTCCATTTAATTACAACAGACTGGAATGTGTTTTATTTTGATGTTTCTGTAGTGACGTTATGGTGCAGTTGGTAGAGCTGCTGCCACTCAGCAAGCAGGTCGCTGGTTCAGATCCCGATCCGGGGGGCTTTCTGGGTGGAGTTTGCATGTTCTCTCCGTGCATGTGTGGGTTTTCTCCGGGTACTCCGGTTTCCTCTCACAGATCAAAAACATGCATGTTAGGCTGATTGGTAACTCTAAATTGTCCCTAGGTGTGAGTGAGAGAGTGAATGGTTGTTTGTTTTGTTTGTCTCCATGTGTCCCTGTGATGGACTGGAGATCTGTCCATTGTGTCCCCCACCTCTCACACAGTGACTGCTGGACATGGGCACCAGTGACCCAAAATGAAAGAAGCGGGTGAAGATGATGGATGGATGGATGCGTGCGTGTGTTTGTTTCTTTGTTTGTGTAGTGATGTTGTTGACTTCCAGATTGATCTGCGTGCTTTTATTTTTGTATCTGCATTTCCTGTCTAGGAAAGTTGTGTAGCTTGTTTTTCCAAGTACGGCTGTAAGTTTCACACTTGAGTCACGGTAAACATTTTTGTACCAGCAGCCCCTCCGAAGAGGCAAAAAGGCGTGTTGGTTTAAGTATTTAATATAATATTTATGAGCATATGCCAGTTAATGTCTATTTTGCATATTAAGACAGCATATGAATGGGAATGATGTAAAGTAATCAGTTGAACACGTTCTATACATGTTCCAGCTTTTACGGTGATGGTGGTGATATGATGCACTACAGTCACTGGAATAAGGTTCAAAAGGAATAAAATAAGGAGTTAAAATCATACAAGCATCAGTCAAGTCTCATCCTTGTTCAAGGGACTTGCTCCACCCACTTGTTTTCCTTTGAACAAAGGAAAACATCTGAAAATGGCCAAGAGCTACTCATGTTTTGTAACATTTTTATAACCTATTTTCACCCAAACCATTGGAATAAGCTTGTTTTGTCTGAACGTATCCTAAACTCACAATAAAACACTACAAACATGTTGCGTTTACACAAATATGCATTTTGACCTGTCGTAGTGGGCGTTCTGTGAGTTGTTACAGACACCAGCTGTCCAAAGGAGTCCTTCACAACCCAGTAAAACTCAACTCCCTTGGTTGTTGGCAGCACGACAGCTCAGTGGTTAGCACTGTTGCCACACAGCAAGAAGGTCCTGGGTTCAATCCTCGGTTGGACCTGGGGTTTTTCTGTGTGGAGTTTGCATGTTCTCGTGCATGCATGGGTTTTCTCTGGGTACACTGGTTTCCTCCCACAGACCAAAATCATGCATGTTCGGCTGCCTTCAGGCCTCCCTTGCAAACAAGATCTGTGATCTCAATGGGATTTGCCTGGTTAAATAAAGGTTAATAAATAATATTAATAAATAAATTCTTGTTTAGTGGGAGTTGGGTTAAAAACTCTTCTTTGGTGGAAAAGTCCCCAAACACCATCCAAATCAAAACAGCCAGCTGGGTGCAACACTGGTGTTGACAGACTCGCCACACTGAAGTGAAAGCGCTTCGCACTCGTCCAGGTCAGATTCCAGCCACCACATTAGCAATCTCCTTCATGGTCTCGCCATCGGAGACGGGCTTGTTGTGCTCAGTTTGGTTGATCGCTGCTCGAAACGACGCTTCTGCTGCATTGACGCTCTTTGATCGGTAAAAAGGACGTTTGTCTCTGAAGTGATGCGTTTAGCTCCTCAACCTTGTCTTTTTGAAGGTTGCTGCCTGGAGGATAGTTCCACAAACAGTTGCTGCAAACGTTGGTGAAGTGGCGCTCCACGTTGCATCTTCCCCCCACTACACACTTGTTGCGCAGACCAGACACACACACCTGTTGGAAACATTTGTAGTCCCACTCCTCATAAAAATGGTACACGTTTAGTCTCTTGCTGAGACAGCTACCTGCTGAGGTCACGACATGTCTCATCAGCACCAACTCATCAAGCTCGACAGCATCATAACTGCTTGAGTGACAACTAATTGTCAAATAATATTTTAGTGTAAGAAGAAGGTGGGGCATCTGTTTGTCTGCCCAGCGACAAATCTAATTTGACTCCAGGTTTTTTATTAACCCTTTGAGGAGCTACTTGAAAGGAGCTTCAAGCTTTGTCTTGAAGTCTGAATGTTTTTAAATCATTCTCACTGTTCAGATCCATTTTTCGTCTGTACCTTTTCGGCATGTAACTCATTCTGCTGTTTTTGTTCTATTTCAACAATTCGTGTATCAAAACATTCAGCTTGTTCAGGACATTCCTGCTGGGACTTTGGGTATTTCTGCAATTTTTACTTTTTGAAATATTTAGCGTTGTCGGCCATGTTTTTCTCATTGAAAACGAATGGAGCTCTCTTCACATCTTTTAAAGCCTTTAGCTGTTTACAACCTTCTGCTGCAACAAAGTCCATGCTCAATAATCCAGGTATACAATCCAACATTTTTCAGTCAGGTCATCTGGACAGTTTCTGTTTTTTGGTGCTGAAACGTTTCACCTTCGATCCAGAAGGCTTCATCTGTCAAGGAAACACAACACAAAACTGATTCTTCCCCCAACAGCTTACTCCAAAGTGGAACAAACCAGTTCTGCTTGTGATGAGATGGTCTCTTTGGTCCGCCCCCTCCTCCATTGCCGGCCCTCTTCAGCACAAAAAAAGAAACTGTCCAGATGACCTGACTGAAAAATGTTGAACCTTCTACTTCTCATTTCAGCTTTTCTTTTTTCTGGTGATTTCTACTAAATTCAGCCTTTTTCTGCCTCTTCAGCTACTGTTTAGGTTTAAATTTTAATATTTGTTTGCAAATTTTAACATTTTTCTACAGTTTTTTTAATTTATTGTTGCTTATTTTAACCTATTGTGCTTCTTTCTAACACTTTAAACTTTTTATGTGCCTTTCAGCCTCTTTCTGTTAATTTCAACTTTTTTATTGTTTCAGCTACTATTATCATTTTTTATTTTCTCTTTGGCTAATTTTAACTTTTTATTCTGCTCATTTCAGTTTCCGTTTTGCTAATTTCAGATTATTTATAATTCATTCAGCCTCCCTCTGCCTATTGCAGCTAATTTTGCTCATGTCGATTCTATTCAGCTTTTTCTACACATTTCAGCTGTTTTTCTGCTGCTTTTAGCTTTTATTTTCCTGCTTTCAGCAAATGTCAGCAGTTCAAATTCAACTCCGAGTAACAGTTTTGAAATTACAGTAAACCGTTTCAGCTTTTTTCAGCTAAAATTATTCAGCAATAAGCATTTTCTCAGGAAATTATATTTCTTGTTTTTGTTGTTTCGTTTCTCCAATTGACTGGGAATGTTTTTTTTCCTGTGATACAGAAATACCTGTGTGTGTCTGACCTGGCTCGCAAAGACAAGAGGATTCTCAGCAAGAAATACCAAATCTACTTCTGGTGAGAACGCAGACTAAAATGACTCAAAAGAGCTAAACTAGCTGCTGAAGGTGAAGATCCCTTTCCTGCAACATGCAGTCACATGTCAAACCAACATACCCCATCACAGACGGGTCGGTCTGATTTAGAGGAAATTTTCACATCTTAATGGCAGAGGGCATCGTGTGGAAAAGGATAGTGTCATCAGGCAGTTGCTGGAGTGTGAATAAGTCGGTGATTAGACAGCATTACCATCACATGACGGCGTCTGACAATAGCTGTGGGTTTGCATGAAACCAGGTGATGAAACTATAAATCGTTCAGATGTCAGTGACCCCACGTTGGAACCAACAGGTGTCTGAGGGCACCCACATAAGTTGTGCTGGTTCCACTGCGTCATGCGTCACCGCTGACAACCCAGAAATGTAAGCCAGTGTTGTGCCAAATGGCGTGCACGGGAGGACTTTAACAAGAATTTAATACGATTAACACTTAAAAGCAATTATTTGTTTGCTCGACTTTATAATAAAGGTGTGTCTCAGTTGAACTTTTATTTAATAAATGCACTTTTATAGTCAAATTAGCTGTAGTTCACCGGGGCGGCGCAGTGAAATGAAGCAGATTTGACAGTTGCTCCAGGCGAGCTGGACGAAGGTGGCAGGCTGTGGCAAGCCGATTGTGTCATCAATAGTCACTTTTACCTATTACATGATACAACAGCTTGCTATACTACTCTGCTGACATCTAGCAGCTGAAAAATGGTAGTGTTCAATATTTTCAGTCAGAATGAATGGAAATGGTCATATCTCAGCCAAAAATTGGTTTATAAATATGGGGGGAAAAAAAGCCATAAATACGTTGCTTCGGTATATAAGTCGCAGGGCATGCAAACTATGCAAAAAAACGTAACTTACAGGGCGAAAAATATGGTATTAAGTATGCAGTTATTTTCATTGCATGCATTCTTCGGGGCTTCTCACATAACTTTTTCAAAACTTCTTGTTGACGAAAAAAACACGTTATTTGTATTTATGGTTTTTGAATGAGTTGCATCATTTGGTTTTTAATGTTTAAGTACTTTTAGTGACAAGAAAGTAGACACATTAAACACTCACAGTGAAAATGTGATTACAATAATAAAACTCTGAAAGTTGACACTGAAAAGGCGTTTTTGCCTTTAAAGGGTTGATATTTTAACACTAACAGCACAGGTAATTCTTGACACAGAACAAAATAACTTAAATATTGACATTTATTTTTGCCATACTGATGTCTTAAAATGACTATTTCATTAAAGTGATAAAATTTTAAATATTTCATCTCATTTAGTCATTTCACATTTGATCATTTATTAAAATAAATGTATTGCAGTACAGTTACCTCACAGTACGGTTTCAAAAATGAACAAACTTGGCCCATACAGATGAGCATAACCTGGTTTATCAGGTATAATCTGGTTAAGAATTGAAATTTGCAGATAATTATGATAAACTAGCAACATATCCTGATGCATGCTCAATAATCCAGGTAGAAAAATCCAAAAAAGTTCAATCTGGTCCTCTGGACATTGGGTCAAATCTTGAAACTGTGCCTGCAGTCAACCTACTTCACATATGGGGAGCAATATTATAGGCAGAAACATGGGTGTGCTATGGGGTCTCCAGTTTCTCCTATTGTTGCCAACCTGTACATGGAGGAGGTAGAAAAGAGAGCCTTGACGTCCTTTTCAGGGACACCACCAAGTCATTGGTTCAGGTATGTTGACGACACCTGGGTTAAAATTAAATCTCAGGAAGTCCAACATTTTACTGACCACATCAACTCTGTGGATAAATACATCAAGTTCACACGAGAAGATGTAAAAAATGTCAGGTTGGCTTTCTTGGACCGTGAGGTCTCAGTCTCTGATAGAGGACATTTGCAAACTGAGGTGTACCACAAACCCACCCACACAGACCAGTATTTGGCAGTTTGACTCCCATCACCCTTTGGAGCACAAGTTGGGAGTCATCAGGACTCTGTACCACAGAGCAGACAGGACTCTGTACCACAGAGCAGACAGCGTCCCCACTAGCTCAGGAGCCAGGCAGAAGGAGAAATCCCACACAAGACAGGCTCTAGAGCAATGTGGATATCCTAACTGGGCCTTCCTGAAAGCAGAGAAGAAACCCAAACAGGACTCCAGTCAGCCATCAGGTGAAAAGGAGGAACCCAGACCAGTGGCCATTCCGTATGTTGAGGGAGTATCAGAGAAACTGAGACGTTTATTTTCTAAACATAACGTCCCAGTGGCTTTTAAACCCCAAAATACATTACGGCAAAGACTGGTTCATCCCAAAGATCCAGTCCCCCGGCACAAACAGAGTAATGTTGTGTATGCTGTTCAGTGTCAGGAGGGCTGTGATCAGTCTTACATCGGGGAAACTAAACAGCCACTGGCCAAAAGGATGGCCCAGCACAGAAGATCAACATCATCAGGCCAGGACTCTGCGGTCTACACTCATCTCCAGGCCAGCGGTCACTCTTTCAGGGATGAAGATGTTCACATCCTGGACAGAGAGGAACGATGGTTTGAGAGAGGAGTAAAGGAGGCCATCTTTGTGAAAAGAAATCGTCCATCGTTAAACAGGGGTGGAGACCTCCGGGTTCAACTGTCCCCCTCTTACAATGCTGTGATTGCTAGTATCACTCAGCCCTCTGTGAACAGTAAACAGCCATCAGTGTGCTAATGACCCATTGTTATGCTGATGGTCCTTCTTGAGCATGTGATCAGCTGGTTTTGGTTGTCAGCAGCAAACTGGTTGATCCACTCTGAGAAGGTGCTATTTAAGAGACTGAGCTGAATACAGCACCTCAGACTGAGGAAGTCTCTCAGATGAGAGACGAAACGTTTCTACATTTTTTTGTTGTTTTGCTTTGTTTTGTTTTTTTTGAATGTCCAGTGGACCAGATTTAACTTTTTTAGATTTTTCTACCTGGATTATTGAGCATGCATCAGAATATTTATTCGACTTTATTCTCATAATTTTATGGCTCTTAATTTTTTTTTTTCTTAGCGTGACCCTAAAGCTCCGTCTTAAGTCTTGGCTGGGCACTCGTCACTTCAGGGATTTTTTTTGTCGACACGATGTGGGTGAAAACGGAAACATGTCTGAGGCACGTTAGTTTAGTGCTAGGTTAGTGCCGACAGTTGTCTGCAGTTGTGTTGACTGTGTGAGAAGCAGAGCGCTGCGTCTGTAGCTTCTTAGGTAGTGCATCTACCCCGTATATTGCTCGGCGCTAGCTTAGCATCAGTGTCGGCAATTGTGGGGATATTGGGTGAAGGATATTTTGGAGGCAGGGCGCCCTCCTTGGATAATGGTATGGGAAACACTGATTAGTGATCAATGTGTATTTTTTAAATAAATGGTTCATTAAAAATATGCAGCCATGATCACATAAATATATGATTAAATGTCTATAGGTCCAAATCAAGATATTTAAAACAACTGAACGGCCTCAAATAAATGACCTTTACAACAGATAATCTGGAAGACTTTTTCTCAGGCCTTTACTTGTTGTAGCATAGATGTCTCCCCATAACTTTTTAGGAGTAGAAGACAAACTTTCTGTAACCTGGCTCTTGTGACATATATTCACCTAAAGATTAAAAAAAGATGGATGTTTGCTTTGTGGCATCTTTGAGGTTCAGTCTAGTTCTGGAAACACAGCAACTTAAAGGTTTAGCTTATCTTTAATCTAAACCTCTTTTTTTAACATAAATTTTTTTTTAATTTAAACTTGTTTCCTTGATAAAATGCAGTTTTTCACTTATCACGGGACTTCAGGGTACAGATCCCCTGCGATAAACGAGGGACTACAGTATAACAGTTTATCAAGTGTATTCTTGTTACCAGTAATCTTAAAGACCAACAACTTACCTTACCTACAGTAGATGTTTCTGCAGCCAGTGGCATCAATATGCAACAAGGTCACAGGTTCAAATCCCTGCTGGGCCTTTCTGTGTGGAGTTTACATGTTCTCCAATTACATATGTGGGTTTTCTGAATACTCCCACAAACCAAAAACAAACATGTTAATGATGTTGTATAATAATTGGGTGTGAATACCAGTAGTTGTCTATCTAGTTTGTCTCTGGTGGACAGAGGACATGTCCAGGGTGTCCCTCACCGCTTTATGACAGTGACTGCTGGAGATGGACACCAGCTCACTGCAACCTTGTACAGAAAAGTGGGTAAATAAAATAAATGGGTGGATAATTAATCCTCTGTTAATTAGAGTTCTATAATTTAAATCAGCAACTACAGGCCCACAAACCAGAATCGGTCGTCTCTACCATTAATATCTGTTGTCTCCTCAGGAACATCGCTACGATTGCTGTGTTTTACGCGCTGCCAGTCATCCAGCTGGTCATCACCTATCAGACGGTACGATGATGGAGTCTCAGTGTTGTGGTTGCACAAAGAGTTACAAATGATTTCAAAGAGCTTTCAGCCCATTCAGAGGAAACGTGAATCTCTGTTCTTCAGGTGGTCAACGTTACTGGGAACCAGGACATCTGCTACTACAACTTCCTGTGTGCCCACCCGCTGGGAGCTCTGAGGTGGGTTCTGTTCAGCAGCTGTTTTAGGCGCAGTTGACACTTTTATTCATTTATTTGTGAAACCGGAGCTTTTCTGGCACTGCTCTTCCATTTGTGTAAACAACAGCCCTTGTTCTCTCTGAAACTGAAGGTTTCTGAGTCCTGGTCTCAGAGTGAAGGTTTTCTGGGGTTCCACTCCCCCCTCCCCTCCCCCATCCACAGACATGTGAAACAAATGCAGTCTAGGCTGCTGCAGTCAAGTGTTCCTGCGCTGACAACAGAGAGAGCCGAGTGGTTTTTGTCCTGGGCACCTTGTTTTCAGCTTGTAGGAACAAAGCCAACAACATCCTCGGTCCAAAGGAACGTTAATGTATTCACCGATTTGGATGCAACTGTGATCCTGCCGACACTGCATGCAGATGAGCACGGCTATGGAAACTAGAGTGTTTCCACTGTTTTTTGTTTATTCGTCCCAACATTCTTAGCTTGTCTACACATTTTCTATAATCTTTATTTTATTTTTTAACATTTACAGTTTCCTCAGTTACAGTCATTTGAGCACACAATTAAAGTTAAATGACAGGATCAGGAAAAAGCGTGAAAATAAAGTGTGTGTGTGTGTGTGGGGGGGGGGGACATAAAAAAAAAACAGCTTCATTGTAGTTTTTGTTTGTGGCGCTCATAAAAACATAAAACATGCCGCTTCATTATAAACTCTGAAGAACTCCGTTTCAACTCCACCGAAATGAGTTGTTAAATATCTGTGTAGGATTCGTCAGCCGGCAATTTTACTATGAAACAAGTCTCATGTTACTGTCTTTTTCATCCAGTCTGAACTTTATGAGCCACGCATCAAACAAAAAAAATCTCAGCAAAATATTACTCAGGAATTTTGAAACCAGATGTAAAAAAAAACATAAAATAAAAAGTAAATAAAGATGAGGCAGAACTAAATAACATCTCAAAAAGTCAAAAGAAAATAAATCTAATGTAAAACAATCAGCTGCTCAGTGAGATTGCCATAAGTATTTAAAGCTTTGATTCCGTGACGAAACAGCTTGCCGTACTGTTGCGCCAAACAGGCAGAAGTTTTAGCTTCTCCATGTTTTTCTGAGCCGGACATCTTCGTTTGATGTAGTGCTTTAGGTAGCGTCTTCCTCTTTTGCTTTTTTACTGTTTAAAAGTTTCAGAGAGTTTAAATGTGGCTAGGTAAAACTTCTCAATGATCACCTGAGGCTGATGTATTCTTTGTCTAGTTCCCTGTACCCAGGGCTTAATTTGAGTTGGTTCCTGCTGGAACAGGATCTGGGAACTCTCTTATTTTGACAAGGTGTGTTCTGGTAACCGTTTGCTTGGATCCGGTAACTCTCAGGCTTATTTATAATAAAGTTATGAACAAATATGACTACCTTGAACAAATAAAACTTAATGGATAAGTAAACTGATAATAATTACATAAACACTCGTTTTAAACACAGCAGCCACTTACGAACATACGAGTTGCCTCTTTAAAAAAAATCTCCACCCGTAAAAGAGAGGTGGGGTGAGTGCTGAGCTAACCAGGCAGGAGACGCAGGCAGCTGCGACAGACGGAGGCGTCGCGCTCGAAACCATCAAAATAGGGGGGGGGGGGGGTGCTTGACAGAAGTGGAGTGTTTACAAATGTAGGTAAACGTAGATGTTTAACAACCCGTTAAAATCCACCAAAATGCAGGAAATCGCATCTACTTTATTCAAAATTTTCTGGGGGACGACACCCCCACCAGCCCGCTCACATTTTGCGTTCCGGCATCGATCAGTTTACAAATTAAACCCTGCCTGTACTGGACCCAAACGTCTGTACCGAACCGTCACATACCATTACGTGAACATAGGGCTGGGCCATATCGTATCGTTCACGATAATACCGGTTAAAAAAAAGCTTATCCGGGCAAAAAAATTATATCATGATATGCTAATTTCATGACGTAATACGTCAGGGCGCCCTGCCCCCTTAACAGAACCGAGCGCGCCGAACGACCACACCGAATTGCGCAACCCCCCAACCTGTTGGTACTGGTGTGACGCTAATTAGCTGTGCGCGATACTAGCTAGCTAAAAGACTAAAAACAAACAACACACGGCACAGCTGTCTCTCCATGAAGCTCTAAACTGCAGGTACAGACAACTCAACTGTCTCCCCCCCCCCCCCCCCCGCTCTAAACTGCCACTCATCTTTTTTTTTTCTTCTCCCCACTTTGCTCTGAGCTGCTGCCCGTACAAACACGAGCAGCTCAACGGTCTCTTAGTTCCAGAGTCCATGGAGCAAGAACAGAGTCATGTGATCAGAGACAGAGCATCAGAGAAATGAATCATTCCTGCAGAACAGAGGAAGCTGAAACACCACAAGCTTCAGGGTCAGATGATCACCTTGTTACAAGTTCTGGAAGTTATAGCTCATTTAAAGGAAACATGTATTTTGTTACATTTATTATCAACAGATCTTAAACTTAATTTTATTCAGTTATTTTGGGAAACTTCACCTGCACTTTAGTTTTTGTGGTGGATTTTGTTGATCTGTATTTTGTGCAGACTTTTTCATCTAAATAACGGAAGGATAATTTTTATTTTTTATTTTTATACTTTGAGACTGAATACTTTACTAAATAAAGTAATTTCAGTAAAATTAACCCTTGTTTTTTTATTTTTATTTTATGTAATACTGCAAAACAACATGTTAAGTTAATTTTGTCAAATAAATAACTATGATTTATGTTTGTTTTTTTAATATTGCGAAATTTATCGTTATCGTCAGAATGATCTGAAATATCACGATATTATATTTGAGCCATATCGCCCACCCCTACGTGAACAGTTACACCCCCGTTGGAAAGGTGTTTTTGTTTTTCCCACTAAAACACTTGTTTGTGTGCAGACAGGGCCTCGATGTCCAGAACCAGTTTGTAATCCTCTCTCAGTACACCGGCACCATAGCTGTGTTGGAGCACGTCTTTCTGAGTTTGCACTTGTTTTCCTTCGCAGCGCGTTCAACAACATCCTCAGCAACCTGGGCTACGTGATGCTGGGACTCCTCTTTCTCCTCATCGTCCTCAAGAGAGACATCGTCCACAAACGAGCCCTGGTTCGCAACGAGCTGAATGCACTGGTGAGACTCATGTCCACCAGTACAACAGTGTGTTTTCCTGTTAATGACAATAAAAAAGCTAAGAGAGCAATAAGTGTTTTTGAGGTGTTAGGTGTGAATGACTTTTCTGCGGTCATATTTGAATTTAATTTAAAGCCGTTTCTTCCCGCCTACAGGAGTGTGGGATCCCGAAGCACTTTGGTGTGTACTATGCCATGGGCACGGCTCTGATGATGGAGGGTCTGCTCAGCGCCTGCTACCACGTCTGCCCCAACTACACCAACTTCCAGTTTGGTGAGACCTGCTTGTTTTGTGTTTGTGGAGCCTCGGCGCCGCACAAACAGCAGCATGATGAGATTTACCACAGTCCAGGAGCTGTTGAGGCAGGTTCAAACGCAGCCTTTTAATAGTTCAACGTGCCGATGAGGGTTTTTATCCACCTGCCTCTCAAATGGTCGACAATTCCAGTGTTGGGCTGAAAGGTTTACGATAGTTTTGAACAATAAATAGCATTTTCTGGCAGGTTTTGATCATTATTTTATACATTTGTACAAAAAACTTCAGTAATTATGTGTACATCACAGTGAACTCATATGCTAAACTTCACATCTAAAAACATTTGTTTAGTACGTCTTCTTTGAAATAAAGAATCCTAAACAATAAACTTAATGCATATCGTGTTCTAGACGAACATCATTTTATGATTAAAAAACAAACTCCCTAAATTACAATAAGCTCAATCTCATGGGTGATACAGAGATTCTATAAAATCTTTAGTGCTTGTTGTACAGGTTGAGGATGACTCTCAGCTACTACCACATCAAACTTTAGCTGAATATCTATAAACTTGATTGAGTTATAGACATGTTTGTCCCCACCCTTGGGCCACCCCCAATCATTTGCGGAAACTTTGCTTTGTAGGTCTTAAGTTGCTTAAAAGTAAAGTTTCCTCAAATGATTGTGGTGGCCAAAGATTAATCTGTGGGGGTCAAGGCCACCATTGGCCACCCTCTGGCTCCACCATTGCTCCTGGTGGTGGATAAAGTTGCTCTCTCCACTCTCCAGGATCTGCCACAAACATTAAGGTTTACTTACAATCCCTGTTCAGTTTCAGTCCAGAAAAAGACTCATCTCAAAAACTACAAACACACTTCAAATCCCTCAGCAGCAGAGAACATTGGCGCTCAGTCTGCTGTGGTGCTCATGTTGAATGACTCTCAAAAGTAATTCAGTTGTAGATGTTCATCCAGTAAACAGTGATATTTTGCTAACAGCAGACACGTGTTGTCGTCTGCAGACACCTCCTTCATGTACATGATCGCTGGCCTCTGCATGTTGAAGCTGTATCAGAAGAGACACCCGGACATCAACGCCAGCGCCTACACGGCCTACGCCTGCCTGGCTGCCGTCATCTTCTTCTCCGTGCTCGGAGTGGTGCGCACAAACGCAGCCCCCAGCACCTCTTCCAGACGAGCTGGAGTTTAATGCACCCATCACTGACCCGCCTGTGTTCGCTCCGACTTTCAGGTGTTCGGGAAGGGAAACGCAGTGTTCTGGATTGTGTTTTCAGTCATCCACATCCTGGCCACGCTCCTCCTCAGCACGCAGCTGTACTACATGGGCCGATGGAGACTCGGTAAAACCACGGCACTTCACTCAGAAGCTTTGAAAATCACATGCGGTTTATTTTAAACTGTTTACAGTGGTCCCTCATTTATTTCAGGGGTTACGTTGCAGATGTTAGCCGGTACCACTTCAGTTTCTATATTACCGTATTTTCCGGCGTAAACGCTGCTCCACCCTATAAGTCGCATCAGTCCAAATACGTCTAATAAAGTGGAAAAATCCATAAATAAGTTGCTTCGCCGTATACGTTGCATCTGTTATGCGTCACCGTTGACGCGTCGCATTTGTTGAGCATCACCGCTGACAACTCGGAAATGTGGACTGGTGTTTTGCCAAAAATCAATTGGCTGCCAAGTGGTGGCCTCGGGAGAGTGCACGGGAGGACTTTAACAAGAATTTAACAAGATAACCACCTAAAAACATTTATTTGTTTGCTTGATAATGGCAAAGGTGTGTCTCAGTTGAACTTTTTCTTAATAAATGCAGTTTAATGGTCATATTAGCTGCATTTCGTCGGGGCAGTGCAGCAAAATGAAGCTGACCACGGTTGCTCCAAGCAGCTGGCAGAACAAGGTGGCAGGATATGGCAGGCCGATTGTGTCATTAATAGCAGGTGAAGATTCTCAGTCATCCAGAACATGGTAAATTCAAAAAAGTTTAAGACAAAAACAATAACGTATAAAGTAAAGTATAATAAATAAAGTATAATAAATAAAGTTCAGTTGTTTTTTTCTCAAACTTTTTGAATTTGTCATTATAGCCACTTTTACCAATTACATGATACAACAACATGCCTTACTTCTCTGGTTCCATCTAGCGGCTGAAAAATAGTACTGTTCAATATTTTCAGTCAGAATGAATGAAAACGGTCATATCTCAGCCAAATATTGGTTTATAAATATGGGAAAAAATCCATAAATATGTCGCTTCGATGTATAAGTCGCAGGGCATGCAACTAATGCAAAAAAAAAAACACAACTTATACAGCGAAAAGTATGGTACACTTTGTGTTTCCAATCTTAGCAGGTATCCTTACCTTTTTGATGGAGTAGATGACTCTTCCATCTCCAAATTTAAAGGGCCTGTGACTTTGTGTTTCTGTCTCTTTCATCGTCTTCACACTTTCCTTTTGTAACACAGTACTATAGTTGTCCAGCCACTCTTGTCCACAAACTGTCCTAGTACAAACAGTGTTTATTATTGTCGAGCCAAAACATTCTGTCATGAATATTTCTGCTTCTGTTGGTGATTCCTTGGTGTATAGTTATATTGCACTCTTCCACATCTGTTGTATAATCGGTTATTTTAACTCTCAGCTTTGTGGGGACAGTCAGACCCAGTGAAAAGTACTTTGGCACACTGCACATTTTGATCGCCGTCTGTACGTATCCAACAGGTTTGTAGCGGGCTGTGGAGTTTTCTGACGAGTATTTTGCCGCCAGGATTTGCCTTTTTGCCACCGTTGCAAACACAGACTCCTGGTTAATGTTTTCCGCTGCCGCACTCTTTTTTTTTCGCCAAATATTCTCTTCAAAGCAGACTTCATTGAAGCAAATGTCCAAACACTCGGTGTTCAAAAGCTTAAAAGTCAAAACACTAACAGCATCAGGTTAGCTCCATGTTGTATATTTTCATGCGTGAGTAACGCTGCTTGAAATCAATAATAGTCCGCCATTGACATGTTCTCATCTTTTATGACCGGGTCAAAATCTGCGTACGCTTCGTAGACCCTGTCCTTTTCCTCTTTTAGG